AAGGTCATGTAAACTCTTCAAACTTGTCTTTGATACTGAACTGAACAACGTCATGTAGACTCTTCAAACTTGCTTTTGATGCTGAACTGAACAAGGTCATGTAGACTCTTCAAACGTGTCTTTGATACTGAACTAGGTCATGTAGACTCTTCAAACTTGTCTTTGATACTGAACAAGGTCATGTATACTCTTCAAACTTGTCTTTGATACTGAACAAAGTCATGTAGACTCTTCAAACTTGTCTCTTACACTGAACAAGGTCATGTAGACTCTTCAAACTTGTCTTTGATACTGAACTATAGACGTGTTGAGTATCTAACTATAGACGTGTTGAGTATCAAACTATAGACGTGTTGAGTATCTAACTATAGACGTGTTGAGTATCAAACTATAGACGTGTTGAGTATCAAACTATAGACGTGTTGAGTATCTAACTATAGACGTGTTGAGTATCAAACTATAGACGTGTTGAGTATCTAACTATAGACGTGTTGAGTATCTAACTATAGACGTGTTGAGTATCTAACTATAGACGTGTTGAGTATCTAACTATAGACGTGTTGAGTATCTAACTATAGACGTGTTGAGTATCAAACTATAGACGTGTTGAGTATCAAACTATAGACGTGTTGAGTATCTAACTATAGACGTGTTGAGTATCTAACTATAGACGTGTTGAGTATCAAACTATAGACGTGTTGAGTATCAAACTATAGACGTGTCGAGTATTAAACTATAGACGTGTTGAATATCTAACTATAGACGTGTTGAGTATATAACTATAGACGTGTTGAGTATCTAACTATAGACGTGTTGAGTATCAAACTATAGACGTGTTGAGTATCTAACTATAGACGTGTTGAGTATCAAACTATAGACGTGTTGAGTATCTAAATATAGACGTGTTGAGTATCAAACTATAGACGTGTTGAGTATCAAACTATAGACGTGTTGAGTATCTACTATAGACGTGTTCAGTATCTAACTATAGACGTGTTGAGTATCTAACTATAGACTTGTTGAGTATCAAACTATAGACGTGTTGAGTATCTAACTATAGACGTGTTGAGTATCTAACTATAGACGTGTTGAGTATCTAACTATAGACGTGTTGAGTATCTAACTATAAACGTGTTGAGTATCAAACTATAGACGTGTTGAGTATCTAACTATAGACGTGTTGAGTATCTAACTATAGACGTGTTGAGTATCTAACTATAGACGTGTTGAGTATCTAACTATAGACGTGTTGAGTATCTAACTATAGACGTGTTGAGTATC